TGAAGTGCCATTTGGCAAAATGAAAACGGTCACGGTCCTGGCTTGACCTTTTCTGAATTCAGAACAATACTGCATATTCAATATATGTGTACTATGTATCATGTTATCTTGTGGCTGCAAAATATACAAGGTTTACAGACACACACACACACACACACACACACCTGCCATCGCAAAAGATATTAAGGAAGTACCTCGCAGTTCCTCAGCAGAGAAAAAGTTTGACAATTCTAAAATGGGAAGGTCAGTAGGGCGCTTTTCAGCAAACGTTATAGCGGTAGACTTTTTCGATACCGAAAAGAAACGACGACGAAGAACTGGAAAACAACATCAAAGTATCAAATAAGCGTAAAAGTCTGAAAAGCATTACCGAAATACACCACTGAAAACGTAATGCCTGTAATCGCCAAGGTTAGCAGTACAATGATTATGGCCACAGACGAAGAGCTAATCGACGACGACTGCTCCAAGTATTTCCAGTACCCAAAAGACAGTATTTCTCCGTGAGAGGTCACTGCATCGATTTCAAACTCTGATTCCGGCGACACGTCGATAGTTTTGGGAATTAGCCATTCCGTTGGCCAAGGCGGCACGTGATCAGCTACAATTGTCCAATTCTCATTTGATCTGTCAATTCTGAAATGTAAATCGAGTACATAATTAAATACTATATTTACATACCGGTGTTTGATAATCAGCGACACGACAGAGTAGTTTTTCCACTGGTCCTCAGGCGGCCATGACAAGTATTTACCAGTCGAGCTCTCAATCATTTTCACGTACACCAGAGATGCCCCTTTTAACACTAAAACGCAATGAGGGATGACGATAGTTTAATAACGCTACGAACAAACTATGTTTTGTACACAATACAGCACAGATACATCCTGGAAATCATTTCGATTCTTTCCTTTAATCAAATCAACAATTCATGATTCCAGACAAAAGCAGACGTGGGAAGTAGCCAACTATGGTAGAAAACTCCTTGTCGTTTTGAAGAGTTCTAATAATTCTTTTTCTTTCTTCTACACAAAGACAAAATGACAGATGAAGGTGAAAAACGAAGATGGAACAAAGGAACACGAAGGACTAAGAGTAGAAGAAAACGATAATGAAAGATGCAGAAAAAAGAAAGAGTCTCATGAGTTTTGGAACAAAGTTGCTCTCAAAGTAATCAAGCAACGGAAAACGGGAACAGCTATTTTTAGAATGTCATTTTTCAATACAAGTCGAGGTTATAGATCAACTCACTTTTCTCGATGCAAATGACTTCGGGCATGACATAACACGCTCCTTTATTTTATTCTGACATTTGGGCTTTCGGCGCAGAAGCCATAATCAGGGAACGTTTTTGTACAACACAATGACGCAGTATCATCGCCATGTACTCAGTACAGTGCAATACTATATCCTTGTGCTGTAAAACGTTTCCGTGATGATGGCTTCTGCGCCCAAAGCCGAAACGTAAGAATAAAATAAGGGATACCGTATGTTACGTCCAAAATCATTTGTATGGAGAGAAAGTGAGGAGAAGGAATAGCTATGATGGGAAATTTGTATTATTCTGCAAAACCGAGGTTGTATGCATTAAACACTTTCAGACTTAAAGCCATAGATATGCTAGCTGCTCTGATGATGAAGCTGACGTGGAATCGAAACGTGTGGATAAATAAAGGATTTTGCATCCTTCCTGTTAACTGGTACCTTGAGGTGAAGGAGTGAAAACCATTTACGTTGTTCATTGAATAAAATAACAGCAAAGCCATGTACTGCTGACTAATTTCGCTACAGAAACCATTTTCAAAATCAATATGTGGTGGCTACTTAAATCTTCGTGGTTTTCTATCCTTCGAAATGCAGAAGAGTCGGGCTGATAAAACCAGAGGTGCACCAGCTGATTCCTTACGTCGGAAATCCTGTTACGTGCGTAGGCAACGCCCCAAACATCGAAGCTGACTGATTTACGGTGCACAACTAGGAAGGTACGATCTGCACCTAGCATCTGGTTGGCCGACTGACCATGAGCAGGAAAAATCATCAAATCTGGAGATTCGTTGGCTACTTGACAGTGAGAACACCATAAAGGGGACCATTTCTATGTACTGGGACCACTGATAACGAAGTGTCTTTGACTGTCTAACCATTCATTGAAGTAAACCAGTTTCGGTTTGAAATGGCAGTCAAATACCACAAATATATGCCTCTGAAAAACAGTTTTACCATTGGCGCCTAAATGTGGAAAATCCATGAAATATTCAGCCGTGTCTCGGCCAACTACCGAAGCCAGCTGTGTATCCAGATGATAAATGGCTTTCATGCGTAAGAAATAGTTCGATGGAGCGGATGCGGCACGGTCTATGCGATAAGACAGACGTTTCCCTTCGGATGAGACCAGGCTCACAGTTTTCCAAGAATCGTCGGTTCTCTAAATACAGAGGATGGTGACAAGAAACTCTAAACGTTTACAACATGCTTCTGTCTACCGTTCTGTACTGAAAAGATACGTCCTGCACACCGCTTTTTTCAGTCAGTTCGAAGTCGAACGTAAAAACCTGTTCAGCATCCTTCCAAGTCGCGGCATATATTCTTCCGGGCGCATCGGGTGTCAGAACGGGTGTTTTAGCAGGTAGCTTAGGGTCGATGGTGTTAACTTGCCATTTGTGACACAGCTGAACCACTCTGAAGGAATAGTGAGTCGATGGAACCAGTCCAGTCAGCAAATCCAAGCACTGCATCTTAGCGCTACAAAGCGTTTTCTTGGTGAAGCTGCCGTTTCTATTCTAAATACATTGAGTCGTAGAGTTAGGCAAAAATATGCAAAACTTCGAAGTTTACTGAGACGCCATAAATCTGGAATTCGCAGCCTTTGGATAGACACCCTTGAGCACAGATCGGCAGCCAAAATAAATACGCTTCCCCGGGAGTGACCACGGCTGATGTGACCTGTTGAACGGGCACCAGAAGCGATGCAGCGAATAACGAGTACTTGAATTCCGTGATCACTAATTCGGTATAAGCATTCCACCACCCTACGGTGAGGTCATATTGTATATCATACGGCACATTTTCAAATAATATCGAAGCGTTAGTGCTCTCCTAAAATGATAAAGAACGTTCAAGCAAATCAGGAGCAACAGACAACAAATGGTATCTCTTATATGCTACACGTCGTTGATGTAAACATTTCTTCTAAGCCTGGACTTCATTGAGCGTTGCACCGCCTTGCTCATAGTTAACCCTGAAGGGAGGGCAATTTATGCACAACACGGCTATAGGACACATGAGTACCTAGAATGTCATACACTGCTCTCCCGTTAACCAACTTAGGTGTAAGAAACAACATTTCTGATGGTTTTGCGGTAACCTTTAAGGAGTCTCAGCTGTCAATGCATGACTGGTGGTGAGCATAAAGTTTTCCTACCGAGTAAAATGAAATGAGGTACATTCCTCCCT